TATTAGGGTTAAATAACATGCCCCACAAATGAGTAAGAGCCATAGGAATATATATATATATATATATATATATATAAATTGCCTTATGTTATTTGCCAGAGACATGCACATGTGGAAGAAGCAGTTTAATGTTGTATTACTTTGTTGGATATACACATAACTTATATTGGGAGAAAATGATATAAAAATTTCTATGTCTCAAAAAAGGCAAAAATTTGTAATGTGTTTCATCTTTTAAAAGGACTTCATCAGAATGATATGTTCTTATTGATGGAATTATATATAGGGGCAGGTGCGAAAACATAAATGAAAATGTCACTTATTATTATGGACAGAGAGGAAACACTGAAGGTGTAAGGACACTAAAATTTTAATTTAAGTTAGATTACAAACATTACTTGTATATCAGTAAAAAGAAAAATAGATTCATAAATGCCATGTCTCTTCAGAACTTAGGCATCGTGAATTGCTCTGTCTTCTTGGGAAAGATAGTGGAGCAGTTTCGTACTGCTTTCTCTATGGTTTTAAATTTAGAGTTTTCTTTTGACTCATTCATCCTGGGTATGATGATAAACTACATCTGGCAGCAATGCCTCTGATCAGAGGGTTTTGAGGAGCGTGAAACCACCACTTAATTGTTGTTCTCAGGTCTACCCTGACATGGGGTGGTTGCACCTGTTAGAGTTCCAGCTATAGACGAATAGTTAACCCCCAAACTTGGGTCAAAACACTGTGAAAGTATAAAAATAGATTTTTATAATAAAAATAACAGCAATACATTTTTTGGGAAAAAAATATTACCGGCAATACAGCAATACATTTGACTCTTGACAAAAACCTTCATATGTCAATGAAACCTGATCTATAAACTGATTCCTTAAAAAAACATATTCTATTCATATGAACCTATCCTTAAAATCTTGTCGGCATTAAATAATCCATTGAGGTTGATATACTGTAAAATAAACCAAACCAATTCTTACTGAAGACACTAGAGAGTCCGGGCAATCCTACTATTTAATCCATAGGAGGAGAAGAGGATTTGTACAAAAGTGAATGCAACAAGCTAGGCTGGAATTTGAACTTAGCTTGCCGATTTCACTTTGTGTTACCTGCTCATCCTATAAAAAAAAAAATTAGCTACCATGACAAGACTTGAAATCACAATCTTTTGATTAGAAGTCGGATACCTTATCCATTAGACCACATGACCAAATGGGTGAGTTATAGACAATGTAAATCTGAATGATTTTGCAGCTTTCACTGTTTGGTAAGAGTTGCAAAGTATGATTCAATTCGGTATCGGGGTCTGTCCCCATTTCAGTTGCAGAAGGTTGAAGGTCAGCTTGATGTCTGTATTTAACATTAAATTACTGTAAAATATTGTCTCAAAAATCCTCTCTCTCACATAGACAAATGGCCTCCAGCAAGGATGGTAGGGTGGGGGTTGTAAAGGTTACATTGCAAGGTCAACATAATCAGTGAGAAAAATTACCATTATTCTTTGACTTTTAAGAATTCTTGTAAAAATATTAAGTGTGCTTTTTTGTGGGTAGGGGGTGGCGGGGGCTTCACATATATTAAACAGGCAAATTTGGTTAATTTTTATCACTCTGTATGTGACTTCATTTACTGTGCAAAAAATTTTCCCTGCCACCAAAGGTGACTCTAATCCCTGAAGAATAGTGTGTTTGAATTTCATAGTTGTGTTGTCATATCCTGCTATGGCAACAGAAAACAAGTGAAATAATAATAAGGATACTGCAATTGAGAGCCCTTAAAAAAAATGTGGTTGGAAGTAATATTAATAATGCAGAGTGCTGAAAGTTAAAATGAATGAATTGTAAAAGTAATAAGTGAAGTATGCATTATCATTAATTTTTTGGCTCGAACTCCTCTTGCCTTAATTTAAATTGCTACGAATAATATAAATATAAAAATAGCACCATGTCAGTCAGTTAGATGGAGAGAGCTTCTGTCTATATTTCTGAGATGAGGTATTATGTACATTATTTACATTATTCGGACTATTGTCCTCATCTTTGTCACCATATTTATTACAACGTTTCGGCATACAATGGCCGAAACGTTGTAATAAATATGTTGACAAAGATGAGGACAATAGTCCGAATAATGTAAATAATGGAGAGAGTTGCTAAAGTGTTAGATTTGAATGACTGCAGCCAGAAAGTTTCTGTTGTTTAATTGGTAAGACAGCTCTTATGCTAAGATAGGCAGAAAAAGGGATATGAATTTGAGCTTTGCTGGAGACTATTTCTGATCTGTGTTGCATACTGACAGCTATAGAATGACAGTCTGAGTAGGAGCAATAAAATTGAATGAAATTAAGATGAAAGAAATACTCATTGATATGAAGAAAAATAATCTCCCTACTGCAGTTTAAAAAAACAAACAAACAAACAAAAAACATTGCATCGTTACTGACAATCAGGACCATTTTAATTTGAATACCAAATGATAGGTAGACATTTTTAATGTTTTAAGATTGTCATATTGTTTTTAATAACAACCTTTTTGCAGGAGTGACTGGTTTAAACTGAAAATACAATTGGTTGCTGTAAATATTGATTCATTTTAAAATGTATGAATTTGTAGGTCATGTTGTGGTTAATAAAATTCAAATTCTATAAATAGGAAATTGGTTTTTGTCTGTGAAAACCTAAATAAAATTTGTGTGGCACACACAATTATGTGAGTTGGTACTATGAACATTGTATTTAGTGGGTACACCTGTTTGAATAGATATATCAGATTCTTTTTTGTAAAACAGTTAAATTAATGACTACACCAGCCTAGAGATTGAGAAGTCCTATGAAAGGAAAGGTGCTTCTTGGTGTGTTAGGAATTAGATTTTCTATTGTTATTATTTTGTGTGTGTGTGTTTTTTTTTTCTTCTTTTTATGAAATATTTTTGCTGGTGTACAAAATTTTATTAGGGTAAAAAAAAAAAAAAGACATTTAAAAGGCCATTCATAACAAAAAAAGAAAAAACCATTCATGACAAAAAAAAGCAGTAACAAAAAAATATGTTACTCTAAATTGGTAATACTGAAATATAATGATTAAAATCAGCTTGACTGGTTTAAGACAAAAGGAAAACAAACAAACAAAAAACTTTCTTCATTTTTCTGGCTTTTTATTGAACAAATAGTCATACTAATTACCAAAACCTGAAGTAAGCCAGATTACACACACATATATTTACTAGTCTGAATCTCTGAGAAATTTTCATAGAAAATATTCATCCTCTGACAGGAATCAAACCTGTATCCTATACGGAACTGTCATATAGCCTGACGTACCTTAACCGATTTGGCCACAGAGGATCATTCGGTTAGCAAGGTCAATTTTACTGCCTTTAAACTACAATCTTTCATGATTCTCTCATGTACATTCATATCTGCTCAAAGCGTATCCAAATGTAAACAAATGATGTCACACATTATGAAATGGACAAAGTCTGAAAATTATTTTAAGACATTTTTATGTTTATACATTCTTTTTATAGATAAAAATATTTAAGTAAATAGTAGTGGCCCAATCGGTTAAGGCACGTCAGGTTATATGACAGTTCTGTATAGGATACAGGTTCGATTCCTGTCGGTGGACAAATATTTTTCTGTGAAAATTTCTTGGACATTCAGGCCAGTAAATGTTGTTAATACAGTTTATTATAGACAGAGCATTTACACACACACACACACACACACACACACACACATATATATATATATATATATATATATGCACATGTGGAAAGTTTAAATTTACAAATTAACCTGACATGTCTGAAAATAAAATAAAAAATACAACCAATGAACATCAAGGAAAAAGTGATTCTTAGTACTTACAATTGGAATTTCATGTTAATCTTGCTATCCTTGAATCAATGGTCATTTAGTGAAAAGTGTGTTAGACTCTAAATCCATCTCCATTTCAGGAATCAAATGTGCTGAGTCGAATGGGTTAGGAAGATGGGAGGCCAAACAAAGACAGTCACTTGGGGGTGGTGGGGACTTCAATGAGATGCTCCAGTTACCAACCCTAATTTAAACCCTTGAGAATGGTGACTTTGTGTTTCAAATAAAATAAGACAAAAGGAAAACAAAAAAAAGTTTGTTTTTTTTCTAACAAAGGGCGGAAGAACTCTATGGCCAGCTAACTAGAGGTGGTGTCTCCATAAACCACCATGGAGAAGGCACTGGGAAACCACTCCACTATTAATCCTACAATATAACATGGCTAATAACACAGACAATATGAAACCTAATGACATGAAGGGGGTTAAGTCTATGGGGATTAACTCCTCACCTGGTAAAGACAGACATATGCAACAGGTATCACCTAACTGGCATCTAGCGATTGCTAGCACAAACAGCGTAAAGGGGATAAAATTCCACAATACCTATCCCTTGCCTGGAAAGGAATGACGTGAGCGACAGGTGTCACCGGACCATTACCTGATGACTACTCACATCAAACAAAAAATAACTCTCGGGAGATGGAATGTTCGGATGTATTATGGACCTCCCTTTAACAGATATCAGAAGCAACAGACATAATCTGGAGCAGCTGACAGTTTGTAAATCTCGCATGCTATTGATGGAATTGTGGCAACCCTGGATACATACCACAGCTTTGAGAGCTGACTGTTAGTTGGCGGGCTGACAGTTTGTTTATATCAATGTAACCACACATGTAGCATATTACTCCATGGGTTTTCCCCCTTTTTATGTGCCAGTTTATTTAATTTTTTCTTAAACTGCTACACATTTTCTTATTTGTCATGTTTTTTGTTTTCCCTTTTTAGGGTCCTCATATAGCACTGGTAACATTAGCTGCATTTGAATGTATGTCTGTTGATTTTCCTGAACCTCCTTACCCAAACAAGTAAGTATCATTATGGATTTATTTTATGACTTATTTAATTACTGGAAAATCATTCCTTTATTTTATGCTTCAGTCAAGTCAATAAAAGGAAAATGATTTTTGTTATTAAATACTTTAGTCATGCTAAAGAAAACAATGCAAGAAATGACCCATGAAATGTCATTTTTTTTTTTTTTTTTTTTTCATGGTTCAGCAAATATAAATTTGGATCATTTGATTTGTTTTTTAAAGAAAAAAACCAAAAAAGGACTGATAATTCTAATATGGAATGCATCATTATGAGCAAAAGGGGCAGCTCAAGGTGTAGTTGGATACTGGGGATGTCAAAATTAAACAGGTGCCTAACTTTAATTATTTAGGCAGTGTAGTAACAGACAGAGGCATAGGAATTGCCAAAGATACTTTTCAGAAAAGGAGCAAGGTATTAAAGGATTGGAAAAAAATGATTAGAAACAAAGAAAATGTCTAGCATCCTATATAACAGTGAAAGCTGAACCATTTTGACACAAAGAATTAAAGTGACAGATGTGGTGAATGTTTAGAACACATTGGACAGAACATGTGACAAATGAGGATGTTCTGAGGATAACAAAAGGATGGCTAAAGTTTTGGGAATATGAATTGAGGAAAGAATGCTTGGACATTCACAGAGCATATTGAAAGCAAGTGAACAATCAAGAGACTGGAAATTGTGGTGAACCATTTCTGTCCATGTCCTGAAAGGAGATGGCACATAGTTTTCAACAAAGTACAGTGCCGTTCGATAAAAGTGACTTACCTGATTTTTTTTACTTATAATTTTTTTTGCCTATTGTTTTTGGGGTCAAACTAATTTTTAATCTTACTAGTATAAAGACCCCTTCCTGACCACCTAGTAAAAAAGTTTACTCACACGAAGGTATTCTATTGATAATTATAATTTTGGATATAAATGAGATTTAGGGAAAAACTCTGTGCAAAAAAAGTGACTCACTTATTTCCTGCAACTAGTAATCAATAGAAACATAACTGAACAGCTTTAAATAAAGAATAATAGAGGTATAATTTATTTATAATAGGTAATATAGTTCGAAATATTTAATAATCTATGGGTCCTCCTTTAATTTGAATAACCTTTTCAACCCTTTTTGGCATTGACTTAATTAGGTTCTGGCAAATCTCATCTCCAAACATTGAATTCCATTCGGATATGAAATCACAATCAAATCCTCTTTGTTGCTCAACTGCTTTCTTGAGAGCCTGTACTGCTCCATAAGTTTTCTATGGAGTTGAGGTCAGTAGATTGGGGCGGCCATGTTATAACACTCACCTGCTTCTCATCAAAGTATTCGTTCATCAATTTTGATTTGTGAAAGGGGCATTATTCTGCATAAAAATGAGCTTGGTGGGGTCGATTTGCACCGTTTCTGCAGACGGGAGCAGACAAGACTCTAAAATTCTCTTGTATTGCTCGCTCCTGAGGGTCTTTTCAATAAGTTTTAAGAAACCAGTTCCATGAAAAGAAAAGCATCCCCAGAACATTATCCTGAATGGATGCTTGACAGTACTTACTGCTAAATTCAAAGAGCTTTCAAAGCTTTTTCGGATTTTAGATCGTTTATCCTTTGAATTTAGCTCAACTTTCGTTTCATCAGAGAAGAGAACATTGAGTAAAAAAGAAATCAGGTGTGTCACTTTTATTGAACAGCACTGTATTTCACTGGGGAGTTGAGAGAATGTAATCAAAATGGGTTGTGAATAAGTGGCTCATTCTTTTGTTTCATTGTTGCTATATGGAGAATGTCTACAACTGCATGAAGACTTTATTGAAGAACTGAATTTTGATTCTGATGACATTAACTCTTTGAAGATACAGTGGACAAGTGAGGATTTATATTAAAAAAAATCTCTTTGTCATTCCTTACTGATTTTAGACTAGTTTGTACTTTCTCACTTTTCTTTTTGCCTCACCTTCTCTCGGAGATGCTTTTATTTGGGTTGCCAATCTATGATACAGAAATGGAAATAAAGGATATGTGCTGTGTACTCACTGCCATAGCATGTGTAAAAATTGTTGGAAAAGCAAATGAAGATGAAAGTAAGTCAGAAATTATTAATAATCACTGATAATACTTCATCTAATCAGAAAATGAAGATGAAAGTAAATATGAGTCAAAAAATTATAATAATGGTGGAGAATACTTCATTTAATCAAAAATGAAGGTGAAAATAAATATGTAGATAATACTGCTGTAGACTTTATCATTTACAAATGTGTTGTTTGCACAAATTTATATAACTTCTCACTCTTAAGAGTTAAATTGTTTATTTCATACATTTCTGTATATTTTTGGAGATTGAACCATATACCAACTTGCTTTTGATTTAGTACTTTTCCTATTCACCTATTACTATATCTTGTCATATTTGTGCTATTCTCTATATTCATATGATCCATTCCTAAAGAAGTGAATGTTTGAGAGCGCTTCCTGTCATTCTCTAGTCTTTGAGAAACTTGTGCTTTCTATAGAACAAATATAACCTAGTTCCGGTCTCACAATTCTACTGTCTATTTCAGAGCGTCATCTTTCCATTAGACTCCTGCTTTTAATATAAAGAATTGTCCCCATGCTGATGATGAACTTTTGGAATTTGTTAGTGGCTGTTAGAAAAAAAACTAGAACAGATAGATAATAAAAGTAAAGTTGGTTATTGGAGTGCAGTAATTTATTAGCCTGACATGATAACCTTAATGTCCTGAAGCTGATGTTAATGCTGTCCTGTCTATTATGGAGAAGAGGATTAATTTATAAATACTATGCAAGCTAAAAACAGCTTGTGACCTTAACCTGATACCCCACCTTTCTTTCTTTCTTCTTTTTTTTTTTTTTTAAATCCAAGTATCTAAAGTGAAGAGATGAATCTTGTAAATATGTGTATTTTTCAGTGTGCCCACATCACTACCGAATGTGACACAAGGTCAGTTTAAAGTGAGTTTAACAGCAATACCAGCAGAGGGGGGGGGGAAATTGGTCAAGCCCCCTTGGCAATTCCCTTTGCAATTCCCCCAGGCAGTATCTCTCCTCTTTTCAGAGGAGAGATACTGCCTGGGGGGTGGGGAATGTCCCCTGAGGCTTGAGCTAATATTATTGTGAAACTTTTCTGGCAAAAATGCCAGGGAAGTATGATGAACTATAAATTATTTCTGTTTACAACCTTATCAACTCGAATACTGCTGTTTTCCTCTCAAGGGTCTTCAAAAATTTAGATGTCAAGTGTCATTTTCTGTCTCCTTGAATCCTGTCCTTTTGTTGTACACATTATTCCTTTCACACTTGTGTTTTAGCGGCTTTTATTATCTTGCTTAGGGAGAAATGATTAAAAAGAAAAAAGTAATTTCACTGACGAATGTTATAAGGTCCACACAAATTTAAAATTGCATTTTCCTCCTATTTATTAATCATTGAAATAGAAAGAGGTAAATATCTATAAATTTTTCTTTTGGGCTTTTTTAATGAGAAAATTGCTAATAATAAATATCCTTTAACGTTTTTTAAGTTTAAAAAATATCATTTACATAGAAAGTTCCCTATTAGTGTATACTTGACCAACCATGAACTTTTTGGGTTTTTCTTAAAAGCAGTTCATGATATAAAATGATGATATAACAATATTATTAAATTTATTGTTAATTATACATTTTAATATTTTATTTAAAGACTGTAAAAGAAGGTTTATTATTCCACTGAGCTTCACAGTTAACATGTTACATGAAAATTTGGAGTAATAGTTTTATCATTTAACATTTAACATTCTACCTCCTTTATAAATACTACTTCCTGTATATGGCATGCCATCAAAATATAGTATTTTATATGAGTTCTATATATTTGAAATTGCAATAGCCTGGCTCTCAATTTCAGTCAAGATTGTTTTACGTGTTGCCATAGAAGGATATGACTACAAGAAATTCAAATTTAACATTGGCAGGAATAACGTTTTGCTTGGCGAAAATAGTCACCTACAGAGTACTAAAGGTTAAAAAGGGTGTAGTCTTTTTCCAAATAACTATATTTTTTTATCATACATAGTTATTTTTTCGTGTTTATTTAAAAATTCGTAAAGGCAGCAAACCACTGTGCATCTATTTATTTATCATCAAGTCATGTGATACATATAGCCTCTTTACCTTTCAATTAGTTGTTCTAGTATATTGAATTTTATAAATGTTGTTATGCATATTTAAATTTATTTAATAATGTTATGATGTATTATGAATGCTTATTTTTCATACACATAATAGTTGGAATGTAATTTGCAAGTGTTTCTTTATATATGTGGATTGATATATGAATGTATATTGAAAACAAATACTGAATTTCCTGTTAAGAATGCTGTAAAAGCATAAAAATGGCCCTACTTAAAAGAATTGCTTGACTAATTTTAATGAAATTTGGTATTGCACTCAGCAGGGACTTTTTAAATATTTAAAATATTGTTTGTTAAAAGAAAGTTAAAAATATTTTAATTAAAAACAATTGTCTGCTTGAAGAAAGTTAATATAAAAATACTTACTGTATAAACAACTCGTATTTTAAAATCTCACTTAAATCAGATTAACTTAAATCATTATGTGCTGGATGGACGCACCACACAAGCACGCATGCAATCACAGACTTTTAGTATTATATAGATAGATAGGTGTTGTGGTGTAATGATTATCAAGCTAGAAAAGGAAATTGGCAGACAATTTGAAATATATCTAAAACTGTTTATGTTCAAAGTTTAGAGGAAGTTTAGAAGTTGACTTTTTAACACAAGTGGTACCTGGAATAGTCAGGCTGGTGAGAACTTTTCGTTTTTAAAGTAAGAATACTGGTTCAAATGTTCCACTTGGAATTTATATTTCTAGATTGAATAGATATGGTGCCAAAATATACTGGGATAAAATTATTTGAAAAATAAGTGTGCTGTACTAAATAAGCACTGTGCTGGAAGCAGGGAGAATTATTTAAATAATATAAAACATGCAAGTACATTAAGTCCTTGAGTTAGGACAGTTCTGACCTCTGGCGATTAATGGTTATGATGCAATCTCTATTAAGTTTGATTCCTAGTTGTACACCATGTTCATTTGTTGTGTGTTCACTCTCTTTCATCTGTGTTGTGTTTGTGGAAAATTATCACCCTTCATTATGGCTGCCAAGCATAGTTTAACCTCTTTTGATGGTGGTGCTTCAAAGAAAAGGAAAGACATCACCATGGAAGTGAAAATAGACATTGTTAAACACTCTCTAAAGGAAGAAACAACAACAACAAACATTGGCCAGTTTGCTTGGCTTAAGTTGTTTGACTATCGCTTAAAACATGTACATATGTGTATACATATTAAATTTCCCTGTTAGTGATAAGGACATTTTCTTGTTAAACTAAGTTGGGGAATTTTCGATCAAAGAAGAATACGTTGTCATATGGCATTAGTGTGGAAGTCATCATGGGTCAGTTTCTGGTTGTATGCCATATTGGATTGTTGTGCATTCGCTCTCTTTTGTTTGTGTTGTGTTTGTGGAAACCTGTTGTCCTTCATTATGGTTCTCAGGCATAGTGTAACCTTTTCTGATGGAGGTGCTTTGAAGAAAAGGAAAATCATCACTCTGGATATGAAATTAGACATTGTTAAATCCTCTGAAAAGGGAGAAATAGTGATGAACATTGGCTAATTACTTGGCTAGAGCTGTTTGATTGTCACTATGGTTATTATGTTAGCATATGTCATAGAAATGTGATGTTATGTCCTAGATTATTACTTTATTATTGCTTTAGCATAGGTCAGTGACATAAGTGCTTATTCACGGAAAAATTGCAAGTACATACTGATTTAAATGGATAATTGCCTTATGGCACATTGTAGGAGTGGAACTGTTGTAAGTCAAGGATCCCCCTGTACTTGTATTTAGTACGCAAGAAATAATTTAAATGTCTAGCCACAAAATACAAGGTGTGGCAGAAATACCTCCCACAATGGTAAGGGATTTACTAGAAGATGCCATTGCCACTAATGTCTTACCATTATGTGGAAATTACCATTATGTAGGAAGTATTTCTATTGCACCTTGTATTTTAAATAAAATTATTTTTAAATTAAAATAATTTCATCATGCTGGCATTTGTATTTGATACACAAGAGTAGAGATAAATAAATTGTTTATGATGCTTAACTATGTAAGAGTTAGTATTGCAAACTATAGGCACATGGTTAGAATGTTTGCTTTCCAACCATGAGATCCAGGTTCGAATGTCACCATGGTCAATTTGTCACTTATGGGTGTCTAGGGAGGCAGTTCCAGTGTGCAGCACTTTTGGAAAACGTCTGAAAACCATCCCACGGCTTGACTCAAGCTTTGTGAGTGAAATTGGGTAGATGGATGTGTTCAAGACCATATATGGTTGTGCTTGCACAAAGTCAAAAGTCATCATGACCAAGGGTTTGGACTGTCGATCATGCCAGATTAGACGCTCTAGAAAGATCTGCTCAGTTCAGTTGCAGTATAAACCACAGATGGGCTCTGTGCCTGAGCAGGTCTCTGCAACAGGGATTGGTTAACCATGCTAGCAGACAGGTGTATTTAGAAACTATTAGCTGGCCACTATTATTATTGCAAAATGTAAAGAGGCAAGAATGAATTACATGAAATTGTATCAGAAAGTTTCCAAATGAGGTCTTAGAAAGAAAAACAAAAAATGTGCAATGTTGCTCTAGTAAATATGGATTGTTTGGCAATAATCCACAGCGTTGAGTTCACAACATTTACTAATACTTTCTGATGTTTTGCTGGCGATTGGTCAACCTGAATATTTATTAGTGAACTAACACTTTACCTGCCTTTTAAATATGCATCACTCAAAAACCTGTGTTCAAGTTGCAGAATCTTAATTGAATGTGACTAGATTGCACAAAAATTATTGGAAGACTCAGTTGGCTGGGTACTAATGAGCCATAAGCCCACACACATCTCTGTGGAATTGTACAGTTCCAGCAGGTACTGTCTGGGAACTTTCTGATACTACCTTGGCATATGATGCCCTGAAAACATAATTACCACAGATTTGAGTTGAGCATCTTTATCTATCTCTCTTTATCTATCAATCTCTATCTTGTATAGTAGATTTTAAATAAGATTATGGGTCACTGATAACAGAATGGTTAATTAGTTTGATGAGTGAATATGATACATTTTTTTTTTTTTTTTTTTTTTTTTAATAATTTCATCTTGTTTTAAAGGTCCCCTCCCCCAATGTTAAAAATAATAAAAATCTGTTAAAATGTCCTTGGCGGTTACATTTGATTTTATACAGACACCTAGGATTTTTGATATATATAACAGTTGCTGAAAATGTTGGCTCAATCATGGCACGCGCGCATGTTTGTGTGTGTTGGGGGGGAGAGAGAGGTACATTTGGGCTGAAAACTTTTCAGCACCCTACATGCAAATGTTGTTAATTTCCCAACTGTTTCTTTCTATTTTAGAATTCTATGTCCCTCAGCACAGTCAAAAACGATGTCAATATGGATGATAATGAGTAAAGTAAGAATGGAGTCCATTATGTGGGTGAGTATTTGTTCATTCTTGAATGCTCTCCCTCTCCCACTTGACCTTTTTACAAATGTAATTTGACCATAAGCGACACATCTGCCCCCACCCCCATTCTCTACATACACATGAAGGATGTTTCTGCAATTTCCTGAATTGGTTGTGGGTAGTGTTGATCGAGGAAGGTTCACAAATTTTGAAAAGGTTTTGCCTTCAGAAGGCAATCCTTTGATTCAAGCAGAAAGAGGTGATATTTTTTTTTTTTATAGTTGTAACGACTAATTGATTGTCTATTTTAAGTAGATATGTTTTTAATTTTTATTTAAATATTTACTTTTCTCCCTTGGGAAATTAGCTTGGTTGTTTTTTTCAAAGCTATTGAAATACTGTTGACTGGTTTTTAATCTAAACTTTTGTTTCTCGATTTTTTTGTGGTTTAAGCATTATGGTTTTGGCTGCTTTATTTTCAAACTTAATTTGATCCTGTAAGCTTAATAGCCATTTCTTTTTTTAGTTCACTCAAATCATGAACCAACATAACTCTACATAGTAGCCTTTTCTGTTTGTCTAAAACAGTGTTTTATGTGCAAGTGATGCGGAAAATGGAATCTCTGAATCCATTATGTGGTTGAATCTTTGTTCATTTGAGGATCATTAATAGACTTAGGAAAGGCATGAATCCTCTTCCATGACTGAAATAATAAGGCAGCTTTAATGGGGCAGCCAGTCAAGGACAAGGATGATTTTGTATTTGGAACCATAGAGGAAAGTTCATCAGAATAATTACCATGAAAATATTTATAGAAAAGGCACAGGGAAGCTATGTTATGGTGGTGAGAAATGACTGAAGCCAAGATGCCAGGACCAACAACATTGCAGATTCTTCTTTGGATTTTATCAAGAAACTCTAAATATATAGCAGGAACCCCAAACCAGATGTGACAGCAATATTCAAAGCAAGGGTCAATGGTAGACTTATAAATATGTAAGATAGCTTCTGTGGAGAAAAATTGTCTAGCTTGACAACTAACTTTCCTAGCTGAAGACTTAGATTATGTACTCTTTCTCTCTTTCAGAAACTATAATTAAAGTATGGTAATTCTTCTGATGAGCTTTTCTCTTAGGTACCTTGACTTTATGAATTTAAGTGCTGCACTAGACTGGCAGCTAGGTCCCATCATCTTTCAGTTTAAAAAGCTAGATGTAACCATAAGTTCTTTCCTAACAGTTTCTTTTCTCACACTTCTCACTTGTGGAACACTCTTCTGACTTCTTCTTTCTCGGTGAACTTTGATCTTCCAAAATTGCAATGCCAATCATTACCTTCTTAATTTCTGTTCTTTTATTGTTCTCTCTCCTTAATGTTTTTCTTTTTCTCTTATCCTTTAATGCTCAGTAACCCCCTTGTGTCTTAGTGGCTTAATGGCCTTACCTGGGTTGAAAGGATTAAAATTACACAGTATAAATGACAGTTTGGCTCTGGGTGTTGAAGAAACACAAACATACCAGAACAGACATCTACAGTAGTTATTAGCTAGCCCACCCTCGCAAACATGCATACTCAGAAATGATTGGTGAGCCAAACTATACTTCAAAGCATCTCTAGGAAGGCTTGAGATATCCTAGCCTTATATATAAGCTCTCTCACCAGCAGAAATGCTACTGAGGGGGAGCGGGTTCAGATGCCAACCATCCATCCATACAGCAAGTTGTACTGGGTTACATGTTACCTAAGCCTGACTTGACCTCATGTTGTAGAGTTTCAGTAGATACTGAAAATTTGTTCATCAATGTTCCTGTAAATGACACAATAAAAATTATCTCTTATTTTGTGTCTAACGGATCAATGGGATAAACATAAAATTATTAATTTACTGTAAAAATTTTAAAACTGTTAATCTTATCATTTTTAATAATCCCTGCTATCAAAAATCAATACTAAACCATACTAATGTCATCTATAAATATTCTTGCTTATTGGGAGATTGTATACTCCTCATTGCATGCACTTCTAATTTATATGTTGGTGATACAACTACCAATTTTGACTTGTTTACTAACTTGCCACTTCTCTAATCAATCTGTATTCTTATTAACAAACACAATGACTACTATTTGAGAATATATGTACATTATGTTAAACTTCAGGTTCTTGAAGGGAATATGAAAATAAGTAAGTTAAATATCTGTCTATATTTCTGAGATGAGGTATTATGTACACTATTATACACATTTTTCGGATTATTGTCCTCATTTTTGTCGCCATATTTATTACAACATTTCAGCCGTTGTACGCTCTGGCCTTCTTCAGGTGGTTGGAATGTCGAACTGAGCCCTTCATTTTGCTCACTGGGATAGACTGCATGGTTAGAAGCATAGAAATGAATACAATGTGGGAACCAGTAATAAGGATTGCCAGAGAAAAGTGATAATAACAACAAAAATTGCAATATGAGCTCTGGTAAAAAACATGCAATGATAACAGCTTATTCTTACAAAAATCAAATAATTGTCAGATTTTAATGAAACTTTCAGGACTTATTCACAAATTAATTAAATTATTTTAGAAATGTTTTTTTTTTTTTTTTTTTTTAGAAAATCTTAGTAAAAGCATCTTTTTTTTTTTTAATTTTTTTTTTTTTATTTTATCTTCCTCCCTCACTTATTTAATTTTATGAAATTTTGAGAAATTCAATTTTTTGTACCACTTAATGTTATATGCAGAAGTCCTTGGCAAATTTTAGATAATCAATTTTACCAAAAATCTGCTCTGAATCATAAATTAAAAACCTAAAAACATAAATTAAAACTAAATCATTATTTAATTAGAAAAAGCTTTTATGAATAAGATATATTATGGACGCTATTGTCTTAGAAAAATTTTTTTGCCAATTTTTTTTAATAAAGATAATTATATTGTGCTGACAGATGGCTAAAAATAGTTAAAATCAGCGATTATTCATTTATTATGAATTAAAACAAAACAAAACATCCAGTCAATTTAAATCAGTTTTGGAATAGAGCAAAATATTTTGCTTATTGGAAATATTAAATTTATTCTATTAGCTTGAAATTAAAACTAAAATAAAAGCTTCAAGAAAGATTTTTAGTTTTTAAAAATTCATTTTATGCTTTAGGTATTGTGTTCCTTTGGACGTACCTAACCAAAGCAAACATACCATCTGTATAAGATGGGTAAATGAATTAAATATTTCTATGGTATTAAACGTATTAAAAATAAAGATTCAGGGACTGAAATGTTGATTTCAAGTAGTTTATAGTTGGGACATGCAAATGTAAAGTGAGATATTTATTGTGGGGGGGATGATAACCAACACTCATGTTTCTTTATTTTTATTTTTATTTTTTTTGTTTAAAGTCTTGTATTACAACACCATCTGCTTCCTATTCCTTCCTGGTATTTTGTTTCACAAATCTTACAAGGTGGCATATAATTCATTTGATATTTTAAAGAAATAAACAGGGTGGAGAATAAAGCAGGATATTTTCTTGTAACCAATAGTTGTTCTTTATACCGTTTTTTTTTGTTTTTTTAATTTCTTTTTATAAAAAGAAATAGGAATGTATCTGTTACAGTCACATTTTCATACAGAACACTGTAAGATGTAAGTCTATATCTTTCCTGTGTATGGTGATTGGTGCTTGGTGTAACCATCTGTAAAGACTGGCATCTGCATGCTACTTATTCACTCTTTTTCAAGAGTTGGGGGATGGGGAAGTGATTCTTCCTTTTTTTTTTTTTTTTTTTTTTTACTTTGCTCTGTTTGCAAAGCATCTTGTTAAGTGCCCTAAAAACAGATTATTGCAGTAACTTGGGCAATAATGTAAAGGTTGACATGTGTGCTGTTCTGTTTAGCCTGCTAAAAATATACCTTGACATTGTAACCTGTTTGTATATAATGTATATTTATAAGTGCCTGTATGTGCTGTTTTTTTTTTTTGTTGTTTTTCATTGGAGACTTGATAGCTCAACAATTTCTTGAATACATTTACATAATACATCAGGATGTTATTTGAATAATTTTGCTTAGACTCCCTAGCCTCAAATATCTGATGTCGTTAGTATAAGTTTCAAATGATCATTGAATAAATTTAGTTTTTTTTTTTTTTTTTTTTTTTTAATATAACACTGTTTACAAATAAAACTGATTTTTATTACTTTAAAGCAGCATGTAACATACTTGATGGGCTTGAGCAAATGGATGACAGAACAGGGTTTGGGAAAAAATAACAGAAAGACAAAACTTATTAAAAGCTACAAGGGACAGGAAGCTGTGAAGGGCCATGATCGCCTACATCCTGAAGGGACACAGTAGATAAAAGAAGACTCACAGGACAAATTGAGGGAAAGAGGGACATAAGAGAACAGCGTGTAACGTACTTGATGGGCTTGAGCAAATGGATGACAGAACAGGGTTTGGGAGAAATAACAGAAAGACAAACCTTATTAAAAGCTACAAGGGACAGGAAGCTGTGAAGGGCCATGATCGCCTACATCCTGAAGGGACACAGCAGATAAAAGAAGAATTGTGGTTGTCTCTCTTTTTTTTTTTTTTTTTATTTAAATAATCCAAGCTGCTTTTACATGCCATGTCCTTTTAGGATGTGGGTGACCATAAGACTCCACAACTTTCTAGTCTTCGTAGGTCTTAGTAATATTTGTATTTTTTTTACTATGTCTCCCATAGCCTGTGCTGACATCCATTTATACATGGCTTATGCTAACCCCCAAGAAATTGGCTCATTGCACCTTCTCAGTCTATTTTTTTCACTGACAATTATATCAAGTCAGTTGCTAAGTTTACTGTTAAGAATGTTGGTTTACTATATTTTACCAGACATTTTTTCTCACTTTTTGCATCTGTCTTGCATCTTTGAGGAGGCACAATGGAGTAATGGATAGCAGCTCAGATTGAAGAATTGGAGAGCCGAGTTCAAATTCCAGTTGACTCTATTACATTCACTTACATGCTAATACCCTTGGGAAAGGTATGAAT